CATCAGAGTCGGACTCAGAGCTTGAATATCTTCTGTTTGTGTCCCCATAGTGCAACTCTTCAGCGTCGGGCTGAGCGACCGAAGTTTCATTGTTAGCTTCAGCGTGGTTCTTTTTCTTCTTCTTTTTTACTTTCTTTTTGACGCCAAGAGCATCCACCATAACCTTCTCAATCTAAAAATGCCTTTAGAGGGGAAAAATTCCAGCGCTAAATAGATTTTGAAAGGCATTCTCTAGCCAGATTTGACGTTGAGCTAAGTTGCTGGATTAGAAAAACGCGTGACTTCTGCTTTTATAAAGAGGAAGTAGGAACAGATAAGCTTTCCTTACCGGCTGATGCTTAGCGATTGCGACTTTCTGAAGTTTTCTAAGCTGTTTAGCTCGTTTCCTGTCTTGTTTCCTGGAAGATTTGACTCCGTTATGTTCCGATTTAACCACATTCATCCACTTCTTCAAACCCATCCTGGAAGTACACATGTTGAGCAGTTCTGGTCCGTTTTCTTGTAGGAAAAGCAACAGTGAAGCAATTCAGGATACATTTCAATTCAAGCTGTTAGCGACCACTAGGTTCGATCGATAAATAAAAAAAGAAAACTTGTAGGGAAAAAAGCAAATCAAGAAGCGCATATTCCACGCGACTCCTTACTTAACAGCAGACCCTAAAAGGACAGGAGGAAGTTTAGCCAACATTTGCAAAAGTGTCCTTCAAGCGGAACTTTGCTACAAGATAAAAATGATCTAGTGATCATGAAAGATAACTCTCCCAATTTTTCATGAATGTCGTCTCCAGAGATGCCGTGCAAAATTGACTCAAATCACATAAACTGTATATCACAAGAACTACCAAAAAATACGTTGACTATGATTTTGTAGCATTCAGGTTTGCATAACCACATTATAAATAGTAGTAACTCTTGCTGAAAAATAATTTGGCTCTTTTTCTAAAAACAAAAAGTAATTAGAACAATACGTACAAGGAATTCATCGCAGCGAAGACTAGACGCCGCCGCGTTCGATTGAGATAGTACGTATTTGGGAGAGACAGCAGACGGTTATAAGAATGAAAGTGCGCTTTATGTGAGAGACATAGACAGGGCCGCAACGGCCGCCTATTTCTGCGTACGATGATTTCCCTATAGACGATCTTTGCATTCGACAGCGATTCAGAAAGTATCTATGCGGCAGCAATCAAATTGTTCGTAACAGAACGCGAATAAAAAGAAAGCCAACATGTGGAACAGGAGTAAAATTATCACGATGTTAGTTCGATGAGTTGGAAAAGCGAGCTGATCGCCGCAATTTTATTCTTATCTAACTACTCCACGATATGAGCACGTCGTCCCTTGATGATCAAGCTGCTCAGCTCAATGAAGTCTGGGAAGTTGAGGCAAAGGGTCGCGCTAAGATCCTGGAGGCAAATGATCGCCGAAGAAAACGATTACGAGAAGCACAACTTTTAGCTCAATCAGAGATTGATCGGTTCAAAGAGGTAAAAATGATTTTGAATTTGTTTCAAGTGAGTAACGTGCTTGATATGCAGGAAAAGGAAGCTGCCTTCAGACTTAAGTGCCAATCATTCGAAAATGAAGACAAACGGCGCAAAAGAGCACTGATACGTGATGTCGAAAGAGAACTGGATTATATGGAAGCAAGAGTTCAACTTTGTAAATCAACAGTCAGTCACTCTAATGATGACTTGCATATAGTGTCATACTGCGACAAAGCAAGGAAGGGAGATGTCCGTGAACATTGCGAAGCGTTCGTAATCTTCGAGATAAGGATTAGAGTTGATATTAGTGCAAAGAAGTGAGAACATCATGAAATTCATGTTCTTGAAGCGAGAAGAAGCAAAATCATACTTACCCTGTTCTCATGTACCCTTACCCTCCAAAAGGCCATTTCACAGAGATTTCAAAGGCCGTGATCAACAAATAAAAAAGCTTGAACAAGTTCAAAAAATTCGAGGTTGAAACATTTTGAGGGTGAAGTGAATGCTCAACGAGTCAGATTACTCCGCTAGGTAACGACAGGTATACGATATTGACAGTAACCCTTCAGCCTTGGTTCAGTATTTTCTGCATGCTGATGTGACAGTCACTTCTCACAATAACAAATACTAA